GCCTTGTTCGAGAGCAACCCTGAGCTTCTCAATGAAGAGTCAGTCGTGGGCACGGTCAAATCCATGTAACTAAAATATTCTGATGATACAGGCCAAGTTCGTGACAGCGTCGCTGATGTCCGTTTGAAAAACCAACTCCTGGCGGTCACTACAACAGCGCCTTCTCTCCAGACTCGAAAAGAGGAGGACTTCGATCGCTTGCTGCTGCTCGTCTTTGCCCGCTTTCTGGCAAAGATTCCCGAGGCCTTTCTCAAAAGCAACTATTTCACTCCGCGTGCGCTGCTGGTACAATTGTTTACGGAAAAACTTATGGTTTAAAGCAAAGCTCAGGGAGGCTCAGGCGGATCAGGATATGCGTGTTGTCATCGTGGCTGACTATCGCGTGCTTGTGAACAACGTAAACCTACAATTTCGCAGCAGGTATGCTTTTAGGTGGTCGCTAACGCCGTAGTCGACTTCGGCCATCCCCAGTTTCGCCTGGCAAGGTGGAAATTGCGGTCCCGGGGTCAGGGCAGAAGTTCGGTGATTTGGCGGCCTTGCTTAAGACCTACTCCAAAACACCCTAGAGCAACCTTATAAATTATGATCGTCATTTTATGCCTGGAGGCGTCAGAGACAAGATGACTAGCGATGCTGACTTTTTTAATGCGCTCCTCATCAACGAGAGTCGCACCAATAGCAAGTGTGTTGCTATATTGAACGCTCGAGGCCTTGCATGAATGTTTCATGGACATGGCTTTTTGGACGTTATATGACTCGATGGGGCACGTTTGGATACAATTGGAGAGTGTATTGTACCGCATAGGTACGTATCACGATAGGGGACGTACCTATAGGTTGTGTCATCTTGAGTTCCCCTGATAATACGTATCAGCTTGGCGTTAGATTTGTGTATGACCCAAGAAGTTGACATTTGGCTCCAAGCAAGGAAACCTCCTGTGACGGATTTAACGCGTTTCCCCTGCCAATACGATGCCGAGCAAGATCCACCAAGCTCGATCCCTGTATGGGAATATGCTTTTGACCGCCCCACCCGTACGCATTTGGAGGCTGTTCTCACCCAAGCTCAGGCCGCCAAACGACTTAAGTATCGTCGTTCCAATAGAGCTGCGAGGAGGGTGGGACTCCCTCCTACGCGTATTACTCTGCAGGCGGAGAGGGGAGGTGGCGGATGGTCTCCGCTTGACCCGGTTCTCAGTCAGAGTGGAGTGCTTCACATGGGGATTGCGGCTGCTGTAAACGATGTTGCGACCGTCCGGCCGGCTGAAGGTGAACGATGTCGAGAAGACAACTTTTGAAGTGCGCAAACCACGCGGGCAGGTTTCTGCCTTCACAATTTTTTGACCTGCATTAGAGGTTGAAGCGGGGGCTGTTATTGGGTTTTCTTCAACAGACGCTACTGTTTATTTTATAGTGACATTGCTGTTGGAGCAATATGACCTCGTGTGAGCCCTCCGCGCCCCCTTCTTTACCTCCGGTGTCGACGGCGCCTCTCTATCCTACGCTGCCTACTGCGAGCTATGCTGGAAATACGTACCGATTACAAAAGATTTCAGGGGTCGAAGCTCGCTTGCACACGCAAATGGAAAACCGCCAAACGCTCTACAAAAAGTACAAAAGAGCTGTGAACGGGTTAGACGGCGCAGAAAATGCCCTGTCTACTATCACTGTGGGCAGCGCTGTTAGTGGCGTGGCCGTACTCAGTACCGTCGTCTTAACTCCTGTCGGGATCACGCTCGAAGGCCTAGCAGCTGTTTGCGGCACGGCCACTATCGCTGGTCGGCACTTGAACTGCAGATTGGACAAGAAAGCTGAAAAACACGATCGCATTCGGACGTCCGCCGAGACGGAGCTCCAAACAATCTCGCTGATCACGAGCCGAGTGCTTCGAGATGACAACTGCGGCGAAAGTGAGTACCAACTCGTTTTGGGCGAAGCAAAGCACTTCACTTCGTTTAAAGACGACATTAAAAGCCAGACAAAGAAAGATCTCCGCGAACAGACGTGAGAGCTAAAAGCAAAGCTGGACGCTGCACGCGCGAGCGAGCGTGAGGAGGGCATTCAGCTCGGGCGCATAGACGCTCTGAAAAAAATTCATCGTCAAGTGGCGGAGGGCGATTCAGGCTAGACATAAACTTTGTGCGCAATTGACATTGTTGCATCCCCGGTTGTTTCATCTTGATGTGACAGTTTTCGTCACCCCACCCACGTTGGAGGCTACAGACCCAAGCTGTGATCATAATAAATCACTGCGGTGAACATCTCTTTTAATTACAGCCTGTTGTTTGCAAAGGGATGGAGTGAGGGAAAACCACTATTTGAATAAAATGATGTGTATGAAATAGCCGTCACTGGTATGGAGTGTTTGGCATGTCAATCTGGCGCTATGAGCGTCATGAATCTAGCCGAACATTTCAATCGTTGGCTGGCAATGCTATAAAATTCGCTTGCTACTTGCATGACGACAGCGGTACTGTCAGCGGTGGGGATGAGGAATGGCTATGTAAGCATGTCGTGTCGCCCAGGCACCGAGAAAAGCTGGTTGAGGAACAGATGAGATCTTAGGGGGTGGCCTCACCGCTTCCTCCGGGCTGCTCCCGAGGAACTGCAACGGCAAGTTGTGCTTGCGAGGGAGCGAGTAGATGCCCATTTCCGCATATTGGACTGGGTCCTCGAGGGGAGCCTCCTCGACGAGTACTAACTAATAGACCCCGACGGCCGGTCACGCGGGCGCTGGGGAGGGCCGGCCGTCTTTGGCTCCTGGGTTTGGCCTTTGCTATCTGGGCGATTTTTTGTGCTTACTATGTGCTTACTATGTTAATCACGTACGCAGACTAGGGTTGGGGCGCTTAGATTTGTGTATACTCCTTCTCAAAATGTGAAGTGCGCCAGGACTGGCAGTCTCTATATTACTATCTCAAGATGTCTTGCTTCTTCGGAATTTGTTTTAAACTAGTAAGATATAATAACGTTCAAGACGCTTCTTTTGTTGCTGAACAGTTACGCCGAAATTTTAAAGTTACAAAAACCGTTTCGTTTTCTCTTGAAACTATTTCTAAGTTTCATTAACAATAGTTAAAATAAGGAAAATCAAAATATTTGACAAATGGTTTGGTTTACTCTGGTGAATCTTTGGAGAAAGCAAAAGAATGATATTTTTTGAGTTTCTTAAATGAATTAATATCGCATATATATTTAAAAATAAATGATTCTTTATAAAAACCATGATTAATAGACACAAGAAATAACTATTTATGTTGTTTAAAACATTTACAGTTCAAATATCAAACATACATTAGATATAGTTGTCGGAAAATCGTCGGTCGTAACAACCAGTGGCGTAGCTATCGATCCCGCTTCTCCCGCCTGGCTGGAGTACAAATTTCCCAAAAAATAATAAATATTCTATTTGGAGATTAGATATACGTTCTTTCACAAACAATTGGTAATAATATGTTTTATTCGTTCATTTTCACGCTTTTATTCGGTGGTTCGTAATCGTAATTCCGAAAAACTTCAAGATTTGTCTTGTAACCTACCATCCGCCTTTTCTCGCACACTTCAGTGCATACTGGCGCGATTTCTCCACGTATTCTGCCTATCTTCAGAGGACGGAACATAGAATACAATTATATATGAGAAGATTTAGTTTCTGGTTGGCTAGGGGACTTAGCGCATGCTCAAATCTGCTGTTTTTATAGTCGAACTCCCACTGTTTTAAATTGGCGGAGGTTGTAATTATTCAACCTTTTAGTATACGAGTACAGCGGTTAGTAATTATCAAATTACAAGATCATTGTCGGTATTAATTTTCTATTGTGTTTGCTCTCAAATTGCTACTTTGCATTTGTGTATGACACAATGGCTTCAAGTGCAACTGCGATTTGCTCAACTGATGTTGATTTAGGAAATAGCTTATTAGCTAAGTCGTTCACTGCTCGATCGTCGGTCGAACAGAATGTTATCGTTCACGAACGGCATACTCCTGATTTAACTATCCAAAATAAGGGAAGAACATTTCAGAGAGATTGGTATGAGGCGAAGGACTGGCTGTGTGGCAGTACAACCTTGCAGAAAATATTTTGTAGGCCGTTTCCCCCGAAAACATCGCCATCATGGACTAAGAATGGCGCAATGATATGTGGAGTATTATGTCTGCTGCTAAGAAGCATGAGAAAATCTAAATCGCTTTGTTCATTGTGCAGCTCATAGATTGAACCTGGTTCTTTGTCAGTCAGCCTCATCAATTTCTCCTGTTAAAATCTTTTTCATCAATGTAAGTACATTCAGCGCATTTACAAGCCATGCCCCAAAAGAAAAGCTTTTCTCACATCAAACAACCTTGAGTTTTCTGCCCCTGGTGAAACAAGATGGTATTATCACTCTAGATTAATTAAAAACTCTTGAACAACCAGCTGGGTGGGATGATGAGTCATTAAGTAAAATAAGTGGCTTACTGCATTATCTTGATAGCTTTCTCTTTTGTTTTCTAGTGTGTGTTTTTTTACAGGATTTTAGAACAATCCACATTTTTGTGTTCCATTATTCAAAATAAGGAAACCCCTTTTAATTATGGCATAAGCAAGATTGACACTTTCAAGCAGTTTATTGTATCACTTCGAACGGATCAAGCTTTCACCGAGTTTTACCAAACTGCACTAGAAAAAGTAGACCCACCAGCAACCAGAGTAGATAGTAGATACAATTACAAAAATCTTTATTTTGAGATTGTTGATTCAATTACAAGCATGTTAAGCAAACGATTTCAAGATATCATTCAGTTCGAGTTTTTCGATCTTGTAAATCCTAAAGTATTTACTACCTGGAAGGGCATAGTTCCACGGGAGAAGATCAATCTTCTCAAAGATAAGTATTGTCCTCTTTTTGACATCAACTTTCCTTCACTTACAACGACAAGGGCTTTCAGAAAGAGTGAAGTAATGAGGTGCTGAAATACATAGTTAAATTTAATCTCCAGTTAACGTCAATTGGTAAATTTGTTAAAATTGAATGATATCTTGGCAGTGGCAAGTGCTTCAGTAGAGAGGTCGTTTTCTTGCTTGAAAAGGGTCAAAAGCTATTTGATGAATAGAATGGGTCAAGGTAGGCTTAGTCCTTTTTGTAGAATATCTATTTACAAACATATCATTGAACAAAAAGAGGAATCAGAGGTATTGCATAATGAGGTGGTTGAAAAATTTGCAGAAAAACCCAGGAGGCTGGCCTTTCTTTATAAATGATGGGTATAGTATGTGTTTTGATATTTGTTCTTATAATGCATGGTACTTCATTGAGAAAATTAAGCATTACTTTAAGTAATAAACCCATCAAACTCTACCTGCCCCAATCTAAACAAGTGTAAACTAACAAGTGGAATGCTAAGAGCAATCTCTCCGTATGCATTTTAGGAAATTCGTATACTATATTATTTTTTGTGCTAACGCATTACTGCATTATCTTGATAGCTTTCTCTTTTGTTTTCTAGTGTGTGTTTTTTACAGGATTTTAGAGCATTCCACAATATTGTATTCCATTATTCAAAATAGGGAAACCCATTTTAATTATGGCATAAGCAAGATTGGCAATTTCAAGCAGTTTGTTGTATCACTTTCACAGATCAAGCTTACACCGAGTTTTACCGAACTGCACTAGAAAAAGTAGGCCCACCAGCAACCAGAGCAGATAGTAGACAGCTTTATTTTGAGATTATTGATTCCATTAAAAGCATGTTAAGTGAACGATTTGAAGATATTAATTAGTTCGAGTTTTTAGATCTTGTAAATCCTAAATTATTTACTACATGGAAAGACATAGTTCCACGGGAGAAGATCAATCTTCTCAAAGATAAATATAGTCCTCTTATTGACATCCCAACTTTGGAGAGTCAACTTTCCTTCATTTACATCGACAAGGACTTTCACAAAGAGTGCAGTAATGAGGTGCTTAAATACATACACAAATTTAATCTCCACTCGAGTTAACGTCAAGTGGTAAATTTTTTAAAATTGAATGGTGTCTCGGCAGTGGCAAGTGCTCCAATAGAGAGGTCGTTTTCTTGCTTGAAAAGGGTCAAAAGCTATTAGAGTTTCGACTATTATCACATTAAGAATGCAGCTAATAAAAACGGGTTTTTATAACTTATTGTACAACAAATAATTCGCCTTCCAATTCGCAGGAAATGCTGCTTCCAAGGCTCCGGATTTCAAAATTTTCCGGGGGAGCATAGAGGGGGTTGCGCTTTCGGTGCGAGATAGTAGGCGGGAGTTACCATTTTTCCTGGCTACACCACTGGTAACAACCAAAAATAGTCTTAAAATAATGCTGTGAAAAAATGATTGAAAAACGTCACAATCCTTAAACACAGTTGTAGAATATTTTTAGTAGTTTTTGCTAACTTTTAAATAAGTGAAACAAGTGTGTAGGTTCAAGTGGTTGAAGAAATATCATGTTTTTCATAACAAGATTATTTCAAAAAATAAAGTGTTGATGACATCGTATATTTTATCAATTTTTGATACGAAAGATATAAAAGAGGAGGACTATTTTTGAATTTGTTGTAATATTGTTTTTTTATTAATCCCTCTCATGTTGTGTTAATTTTGCACATTGTAAATTGATGCCTTTTTGCAAAAACATTCATTCTTAATTTTTAGTTTGAAAAATGGATTCACCTCCTAAAAACTTAAAGATTGAGGCAAACGGTTCTCGTTTGAGTAAACTTTTGATAAATAAAGGAAAACAAGCCTTGACACATAGATTGCAATCTTTATTAAAGCCATTGAGTTTAGCTAATAAACTTAAAGATCCCTCTACAAAGAAGACACTAACATCTTTGAAATTTAAAGTCATCAAGAATGAGCAATGGGATCTTCTTTACCCGTCAATCGGTGACCCTGACATTGAAAAATTTGACATCACACTATTGACTGTCTTATTGCGTAATATATGTGGTCTAAAAGCGCCAACTACAGGATGGGATAAACTTCCTTCCTTTTCAGATACCTCAGTCTCAGCAAATATTGCAAGAATAAAGTTTTATCGAAACAAAGTGTATGGTCACATAACTACAACCAGTGTAAATGACACTGAGTTTGAGCACTTGTGGATTGAAATCTCAAAAGCATTGGTTGGTCTGGGTATTCAACAAACTGAAATAGATGAAGTAAAGAAAGCTCCACTCAGTCCTGATGAAATAAATTATATTTTAATGTTAAAAGAGTGGTATAAGAAAGAAGAGCAGTTAATCGATGTCACTGAAAAAACCAAAGAAGATGTGAAAGTAATAAATAGAAATGTTGTGGAGATAGCAACAAAAGTTACGAACATAAATGAGGATGTAAAGAAAACAAAAGCTGAATTAGCAGGATTAAAAACAATGTTACAGGACAAAACATATTCAGTTGTCGAAAACCTTGGAAAGTGTAATTTCAACGGCCTTATAAAAGATCTTAACAAGAAATACTTACCTGGCACCAGACAATGGTTATTTGAAAAGCTCGACACTTGGTTTAACGATAAAAGTGAAGATGCTTCTAATGTCATGATTTTGATTGCCGGTCCTGGCGTTGGTAAAAGTGTGTTTGCTGCTGAGGTGTGTCGACGATATTCTGAAAAGAAGAAACTTGCTGCTTGTCATTTCTGCAGGTATAATAGATCAGATTATAGAAATCCTCGAAAATTGATAGAATCATTGGCCAGTAGCATGTGTGATACAATATCAAATTTTAAAAGTATACTGAATGAAGAATTACAGAGAAATAATTCCAAAGAATCGATCACCGATAAATTCCTTGTTTTATTAAATAATCCATTGCATTCATTGGGAGATTATGAACCAATGCTTTTGGTTATTGATGCCTTAGATGAAAGTCAGGTTGAAGGCAAAAGTGAATTGTTGGAGTTGATTACTGATGAATTTGACCGACTGCCTAAATGGATTAAAATCTTCATCACAAGTCGTCCAGAACTTCCTGTTCAAAGGAAATTGAAAGACATGAATCCTGTGGAAATTACAACTGATCCTCGTGATGAAAACAACGAAGAAGACCTGCACAAGTATTTGAAACATCAGTTGAATGATCGTGTGCAGAGAAATCCCTACGTTCTTCAGTCATTAGTTAAAAAATGTGAGGGATCATTTCTTTATGCCTATTACGCCCAACTGAGCTTGAATAAAGAAAATATTGAGCTTACTTACGAAAACATTCAACAATTGGTCCCTAGTGGGTTAAGCAGTGTTTACACAAAGCAATTTGAAAGAGTAAAAGATTTAACGAAAGAAAGTCCGGGAAATTCTGTTATCTCAGAAACTACTTTTATGCAATTTGTTGAATTGTTGGCTGCATGTCGGGAGTTTTTACCATTAACTTTCCTGTTTAGCTATTTAGGTTTTTCTGGTGACATCAAGTTTGAAGTCCGCAGTAAAATCATTGAACCGTTATCTCAAATTTTGCCAGTTTACAATGATTGTTTAACCGTGTATCACAAATCTCTCATTGATTGGTTAAAATCAGATGGTTATGAGCAGCATGACTTTACAGTTGATCCAAAAAATGTTCATAAGTTCTTATGGTGTGCTTGTGAGAAAGTGTTTGAACAAATTAAGTGGATGAACATTTTTAAAGATCAGATGAACACTGCTATGATTAAATATGCCTTGAAGAATGGAATTTATCATTTGTCAGAATGCGGCGAAAATAATGACTTTAGCTGGGTAGTTGATGTCAAAGTGGTTTGTGCAAGGTTAAAGTGTGTGGAAGACATTAACGTGACAACCATTTGTTCGGAATTGTTTAAAGTCAATAAGGAACAACGAACTTTTTTGAGAAAAGAGGAACATGAAGAACTACTATTTCATTTGTCAATGACGTTTTTGACAATGAAGAATAAGTCATATTTGTCAAGGTTAGATGATAGCTTAGCTTTTTTACAAATTATTGCAAACAGAATTCATGCCAGTAACGACAAAAGATTATTAGCAAGGGATTTATTGAAACAAGGAAAGCTTACTTGGTTTGAGGATTTAGACTCAACATATCTAACAAATCGTCATCATTTGACTGTCGCCTTGCGTGCTAACGTTACATCTCTTTGTGTGTCGTCCAATGAAGAACTTCTTGCTGTAGGATATGAAAATGGTCAAATATCTATTTTTGAGCTTCCAGAATTCAAACTACGATGCACTCTCGGCACTGCAATTAATGATTCAAGGTTGGAAAAGTGGGATGATGTAAACACAATTATGTCCCTGTGTGACATCTATGACTATTCAACATTAACGAAATCCTGTTTTGTACGTGGAAACATCTGTTGTTGCTCCTTTTCACCTAACGGAAATAGACTGGTAACTAGTAATGGATCCGCTGAAGTAAAGTTGTGGGATGTTAACAATGGACGTTTGTTATCATGTTTACAGTCAGATGATGTCGTTAATCGTTGCTCTTTCTTAGATTCTGGTTTGTTTATTACAGCAGAATATGTAAACGATTACCATGAACGTCCTAAAGATGTGTTCACTGCATGGAATTCATTAACTTTGCAAAGAATCGATCAACGCTGCGTTGTTGATTACCAAAAACTACAATGCACCGATAAATATTCCGAGTTCTTTGTTGCAGACTTCGTCGAGACTTCGTATGTCTTTCAATTCCCAAAATCAATCGATATTTTTTCAAGTAAAAAGGAATATCCAGTACCTTTACATTTAATGAAAACCCACCATTATCGGGATTGTATTTATTATCATACTAACCAGAATAGAAAGCTTTCTGAAATAACTCAGTTGACAAAATACAACGATCAAGGAGAAATCAAGTTTTGTTTACCTTATGTCTGGTGTCCATGTGTTGATAGGAAATTTAACAAAGTCCATCCAATCTCGTTTAAGGAATTTTGCGTTCTGCCGTATTTTTCCAAGCTTAAAATTTTCAAAACTGATCATGTTTGGCGACCTTCTTTTATCTTTGAGAGATTTGAAATTAAATGTTGTTGTTTTTCACCGGATGGATCTTTTTTTGCTGCTTTCGCTGTTGGTTACCACGTCAACATTCATATTTGGATTATTGAACGTTGTACTATTATTCAAACTGTACCAATGCAACTGAAGGATGCAGAAGGATGTTGGTGGTCAGATGGTTTACTGTGGATATGGGATGGTTCTGATCAACTTATGAAGATATCAACTTCGTCTGAAAATTTTGTAGATTCTACTCAAGCAAAGCATGTTAACATTGGATTTAAACCTAAGAAAATCTTAACATTTGGTGATGTCTTAGTTTGTATTGACAAAGAAAAGTTTGTTCAAGTTGTTAAAATTACCAAAGGTGAGATACAATACAACAAAAAACTTCCTGTTTATAGTTCAAAATTTAAAGCAGCGGCTGTATCACCTGATAATTCTGTTATTTTAACTGTAAACCAAACAGAATGCACATTATGGATATGGAGAAATAACGACAATGAACTTTACTTGGAACCTTGGCTTACTGCAGAAATACCTATAACAGCTCTCATTGAAACATTTGTTCGGAAACAGATAACTGTAAATGATCTAGAGTTAAACTGCTGTATAAGTGATAGTAAACAAGCAGTCATAAGACTTTGCAAAGGCAACGAAGGTATGGGCATTTATGTAATTAATGCTCACGAGAATGGTGATGTGAATGCGATTAGACATGATGTTGAATATGGTTTGCAGTCCAACCTAATCATACACAAATCTTATTGCATTGGAGTGTTTGTTGGGTCATTGTTTGCTGTAGATTTAAAGAGTGGTGAAATGTGCGCTGAATTTAAAGAACATTATTACAAGTCTAATATAACTATGCATTCCAATACAGGAACTTTAGCTATAGTTGACAGTTTACATTGCAGAATTCAGTTTTTGAAACTTAATGTTCTTGAATAAATACGTCAACTCAAACTTTAATAGTAAATTCAAAAACCTTTTGAGAAAATTGCACATAGATGTTAATGGTCGTAAGAATGAATGCTTGTTTCCACCTACTACAGTTTTGTAATGAAATATACTTATTCTACCAGGCAATCTTTAAGAAATCATCTATATTACCAAAAATAAATTTGGACCAATTTTGCAAAAGATCTTTTAAATTAATTGGTACTATTTCTTGGAATGTCTTACCTCCTGCTATTAAAGAATGTAAAATATTATCTATGTTTTGCAATAATCTGAAACGATGTATAATTGCTTTTTATAACACGAATGACTTGTATTTAAAAAGAGCGCTTCTAAACTAATTGATCATGAATATTTATTTATGATCCTTTCTTAGATTTTACTTGTAATCTTTATAAATAAATTGTCATTTAAACAGGGCATCCTCTAGATTAGACTACTACTGTAAGATGCTTTGTCAAACTTATTATTATGTATTGTATCTCTGAACAAATTTCATGTTGATGATTTACTTTTTAATAAAAATGTATGGTTAGATAATTTGGTTATTTTTATTTAACAAATAGATAACATTTAACAGTTGTCTATAAAGTTATAGATACACGGGTATGGCGTCATTGTGATAAAAACTGAGTGGCCACGTGCCGCCGGGCAAATCAATGTTTGAAAACAGGATTTTTTCTTTTCTTTTTGCTCAAATACGTCTAATGCTTCAACTAGGCATTCTTAATTTCTTTATTTGCCCATTCAGGGATACATTCAGGTAAATATTCAAATAAATTCTCCGTTCGTTTGTCATTTAAATACTAGGAATTTTCTGTGACCTCAAATCCGTCATCTGTCCTGTTATAGATCATAGCTCTCGACCAATAAAATTGCTCAAATTCTTCTGGTTATTATATAATATTATATACTAAATGCTCACTACATAGAAATGAAAGAATGTCGACAACTCATTCATTGTGAGTCATTTGACAATAAGGTGTTGTTGTAGATGAAGATTATTTTGTTTAAATTATAGGGTGAATTTCTTTAAACATTCTTTCAAAAACTGTAAATAAAATTTACCTTACGCATGTTAATATCGTGGAAACAAGTTTTGAATGATGTTATAAATTCACATTTATAAAACACCATCATGATGTCATGTCATGTCATTGGGTTTTATGGTCATTAGTTGAAAAATGCGAGAGATCACTTTTGTACGTTTATTATGTACTAATAACCTTAAAGAAACAAAATGTTATATGCTGTCAACTATTCCCGTATGTAAAAACATCATTATGACGTCATGTCAATAACTGTGATGAATATCAATAAAACTTTTATGATTTTGACATAAGTTCTTTTGAATTGAGGAATTAAATTAATTTGAATAATATTTTCTTGATTAAAAAATTGGAGAATGTTAATTCTCACTTTCAGTCTTCAATGGTTAAAATAAAATTTATTGTCATGATGTTGGGGTTGATACAACGTTAAATGTACAGTTTCAACTTGTGACAATTGTAAACAAAACAATAAACATTTTACTTATTATAAATATTAAAGCTCAACAAAGTATATTTAAAAGAGCCATTCAATACAAAAATGACGTATAAAAAGAAATATTTATTTAATAGCGTAACGTTTCGTCTTGGTTCTCAAGACATCATCAGACAGTATTGAATTACAAGTATAAAGGGATTTATATATATAATAGCTATTTACATAATATTAAATTATATGGTGGGATGAAAAATGTGAAAGTAAAAATGGGATAAGATGTTATAAAGTGGGATAAGTGGAAATCACGAAAGAAACAAAAACACACACAATCACAAAGTATACAGACATGGAGTTTTCTTGTGAATTCCACTTATCCTTGGGCTTTAATATTTATAATAAGAATTTGCTTTCCATCACGTATATCCCTGGTCACTATTCTGAAGAACGATTTTACTAATAATCTTAAAGATCCTTGTGCTTTAAACACTCCACAGATTTTTCTAGTTCTAAGTTTGGGGTATCTTATGAAAGAACAGCTACGTATAGCCAACATTTTGTTGTCTTTTACTGATTAGTAAACAACTTAAGTAAACATTGGAGTTTTCCAAAATAAACATGTTTCAACATCTCGTGATGTCATCTTCAATATTAGTGACAATATTATGTATATGACAACATATATGATAGTAATGTGATACAGTAGTAATTTATTTAAATATAGGTAAATTATATACAGTAAAATATTGACATAAATTAGTGGTGATTGTGTTTACAAGGGATTCTTTAATTCAAAATTTTAAATTCTTAAGTTTTTAGATTTTTCTTACTGTAAAAAAGTGAGACAAAAGAATCTATGCTTGATAACTAAGGATAGAGGAATAAATTTAGGGGAAGGAGGTCAATCTGCCCCTTCCTTATTCCCTAGAGCCATCATTGTATATTGAATAATCATGTTACATTAAGGTTCAACTTAGCAAAATTTGAGGTTTATGCTGTGTTTGCACTATATACAGAATTTGCTCATCACGACATCTTCAATTGTTTTAAAGCTGTAACAGTTGGAGGAAATGCTTATTAAGTTAGTAGATTTAGTTAATTTAATTTTGTTTTTGACATTGAACGATATCAATGATTTTAATACATGAAAATTCAACCTGTAACGATAGCATTTCGGTATAGTGTAAATGGAGCCTTATTATAAATGCAGAACTTTACACGTGCAAAGACAAAAGAAAATAATGTAAAATTCCTCATTATCATTTGTTTTAAAAACATTCAGCTCATGCAAAGTTCGATGTTTGAAACGGACGTAAAAGATTTAATGCAAAGTATTTCTTTTGTTCAAAGATATTAAAGGATTAATTATTGTATCTTTGAAAGGTGACATGAGGTATCATTATTTAGAACATGGACAAAGCCATTCGGCCAATCAGCATTCTGTAGTTTGTTGTTCTATACCTCATAGTTCCTACAAATAATTAATTGGTATGAGCTTCTTTAAGGCTATAAGAAAATCCACAGATGGAGGGAAAACAATGGAATACAACAGCTCATTAGTATTCTTTAAATCTCGTTAGTATTCCCTATATAGAGAATACTAATTTGGATATTGTTTTCTGTTTTTCATTTCTTTATAAGTATTCTCTAAATAGAAAATACTAATGACTGTAGTAACCCTACAGTGCATATCCGAATATCTAACAAACAGATAAAATCTAAGGCGTTTATAACATATTATTGTGAAGTAAACAGATTCATATTGCTCACAAATTTAAAAAGGAAATAACTCTTACAAACAAATCAGAAAAATTTAATATTGCACTCAAAAATAATAACAAATACCGGTACTCTATCACTTAAAATAAAACGACATACGTGTTTCGCCATGTCCAAAACCAAAAAAGTCTTTGTGTCTTTTGTATTTACAGTGCAGCCACATTTTTGTTTCTCCTCGTCTACCTTCGCTTTCTTTGGACTTAAATTGTTGACTGCAGAAGGAGGTTGAAGTGCGTTTGCAATCTCACATTCTAGCAAGTCCAACTCACTAAGCTCACGCATGTCTTTAAGTGCACAGATTAAAATATACGACGTCAATTCGTATATTATATCTTTTCATTTTTGAAATTTAATTACTTTTCTTACACTGAAACAATATTTACTGACTGATAACCACTTAATTGAAAACAAGACATCTTAGGTCCCGTCCACACGTATCCGAATTCGTTCGTATCCGCAAATATTTTGTTGCGGTTACGCTTATCGTCCACACGTATCCAGCGAAAACTCCAGTGCTTTTTTTAAAGAATTTTCAATTTGGGGGCAAAAAAGGAAAAATTGCACAACAAAAAATGTGGCCTTGAGGTTTAGCAAATGACAAAATTCTAAAGAGAAATTTTTTAAAACTTTATTTTTTAACTTTAGCTTTGCTTCTTTATATCCGTAGATTTAGGAACCACAAAAAAATTACTTGTCAACTTTTGAAACTTAATTTTGCTTTTATTACTTTTATCAGAAACATTCTTTCTCTTCTCTCCAGTTTGTATAGTCTCAATAAAATGGCATTCCATATTCATAGACATAGCCTAAGTTTGCAGGACGTATTTAATCAACAATCCTACACCAAATAGGCACGGTTCCTTTCAATGCCAGAAATAAGTCCTTAAACGTTTTCGCTATTCTATATTCTAAAACGACACTTAATAAAAGGTTCAATTCATCATCTGTCCATATAAAAGCTTCATTCTTACCTTTGATGAATTAGAAGCAGCAGTTTTTGTCGGATAATTTAACATTTTATAGCCAGCTCATTATTCGTAAAAGCGCATGCTCTGTAATCAACAAGTGGGTATTTGTATCGTTTTCGTAACTACGTGTGGATACACAAAAACACATCAAATTTGCATACATGTGGACGCGTAAAGTCTTGAATCCAGAACAAAATGTTTACAGCTACGTGTGGACACACAAAAACACATCAAATTTACATACATGTGGACGCGTAAAGTCTTGAATCTAGAACAAAATGTTTACATCTACGTGTGGACACACAAAAACACATCAAATTTACATACATGTGGACGCGTAAAGTTTTGAATCTAGAACAAAATGTTTACAGCTACGTGTGGACACACAAAAACACATCAAATTTACATACATGTGGACGCGTAAAGTCTTGAATCTAGAACAAAATGTTTACATCTACGTGTGGACACACAAAAACACATCAAATTTACATACATGTGGACGCGTAAAGTCTTGAATCCAGAACAAAATGTTTACAGCTACGTGTGGACACACAAAACACATCAAATTTACATACATGTGGACGCGTAAAGTCTTGAATCCAGAACAAAATGTTTACAGCTACGTGTGGACACACAAAAACACATCAAATTTGCGTACATGTGGACGCGTAAAGTTTTGAATCCAGAACAAAATGTTTACATCTACGTGTGGACACACAAAAACACATCAAATTTGCATACGTGTGGATGCGTAAAGTTTTGAATCTAGAACAAAATGTTTACAGCTACGTGTGGACACACAAAAACACATCAAATTTACATACATGTGGACGCGTAAAGTCTTGAATCCAGAACAAAATGTTTACATCTACGTGTGGACACACAAAAACACATCAAATTTACATACGTGTGGACACGTAAAGTTTTGAATCCAGAACATAATGTTTACAGCTACGTGTGGACACACAAAAACACATCAAATTTACATACATGTGGACGCGTAAAGTCTTGAATCCAGAACAAAATGTTTACAGCTACGTGTGGACACACAAAAACACATCAAATTTACATACATGTGGACGCGTAAAGTTTTGAATCCAGAACAAAATGTTTACAGCTACGTGTGGACACACAAAAACACATCAAATTTACATACATGTTGACGCGTAAAGTTTTGAATCCAAAACAAAATGTTTGCGGATACAAATGAATCCGGATACGTGTAGACGGGACT